CCCCGCCACAGATGAGCGTCTGGACCTGGACGACGGGCGCTGGGAGGACGTCCACGTTATCACCGGCGCCCTGAAGCTCTTCTTCCGAGAGCTGCCGGAGCCCCTCTTCCCCTTCTCACACTTTTGCAAGTTCATCGCGGCCATCAGTGAGCACCTGGGGGAGGTGGGGCGGCTGGGGTGGGATGGAGCCAACCTACCTCGGAACTCCCCTGGCTGTCAGCCCCCGCCCCCTGGGCTACTACTGCCTGGATGAACCTGCTCACCTCCCTGATCCCCCCTCTGCCTCCCCGATCTGACGCTTTCTTTCCCCAGAGCTGCAGGACCAGGCCCAGCGCAGCCGCTGTGTGCGTGACCTGGTGTGCTCGCTGCCGACCCCCAACCACTACACGCTACGGCTTCTCTTCCAGCACCTGTGCCGGTGAGCGGGAGCGCTGCGCAGGAACGGGGAGGTGGGGCCTGGCAGGAGTCCCGCACACCTCCCCCCAACTCAGGGCCTCGATTCCACCCCACCCTCAACCCCTGCAGGGTGATCGAGCACGGGGAGCAGAACCGCATGTCAGTCCAGAGTGTGGCCATCGTGTTCGGGCCCACGCTGCTGCGGCCCCAGACGGAGGAGATCAGCATGCCGATGACTATGGTGTTCCAGAACCAGGTGGTGGAGCTCATCCTGCAGCAGTGCTCATACATCTTCGGGCCGCACTGACCACGGCCCCCTCCCCGTCACCCCGCTGCTGGAGCGGAGACTGTGGTTCTGTCATAGAAGCCGGGCAGCTGGAGGCCAGGAAGCTGAACTCTTTGAGACCCTCCGCTCCCGTGCAGGCCGGCGTGAATTCTGCACCCGTCGGTTCTGAGGATATGGTGACCCCTGGTGGGCAGTTTGCAAAATGTGATTTTTCTCTCCATGTCCTGTTTTCGGGTTAGGTTCAGTTTTTTTACTACAGCGCCTCCTACTGTGCCTGAGAGAGAATGCGTGTGGGGGTTGTTTGTTTTCTGGGACGCGTCCATACCGGGAGAGAGGAATTTGGGTGAGTGGCTTCCTGGCTCCCTCAGGCCTTCACCTGGTCAAGGCCTTCACGGAGACCCCAGCTCTGTGTGTGGCACTGTGGGTCATGAAGCAGCAACCCACAACTTCCCTGCTGCGGAAATGGGACTGACCAGGCCTCCAGTGTGGGCAGCTGAACCTGCCTTTCTCCAGGCCTCAGGGATGAAGCTCCAGCAGCAGCCCTCTTGCAAGCTGGCTGTGGACCATTTTCATCTGCTGCTTTAGAGTTTCTCACCTCTGCCCTCCCTGACCCATCCTCCACATGTTCTGCAGGGGTTCCTCCGATTCACTAAATGTGTGCCTTCTACCTGATACTTGACATGCACCATTTCTGCACACAACTCCATTTTACAGATGAGGAAACTGGGGCTTGCAGAGGCAAATTTGACTTGTGAAGGGTCCAGTGGCTGGTCTGACTCCCCAGCTCAGGCTCCTCCCATACTAGAGCACAGCCTCCTAGGAGGGTGAAATCAATGCCCTCACCCACCCCCCAGCCCCAGCATGGGATTGTGGGCAAAGCAAAGAAACTGCGCCGGTGGCATCTGTCTGGGTGGGGGGGGGGCGGTCCCTGAAGGCAAAGGGAGAACATGACCCAACAGTTTTGTTTTTTTCTGGGGGGAGAGGAAGTAGCACTGACAGGAGCAGGAGCCCCCATCCTCTCTCAGTGCCCCAGCTGGCAAGTATGACTTCTTGGTGCCCACTTTGCCATGAAGAGCTGGGAGAGGCCTGCAGGGCACGGACCTCAGGAAAGGACGTGTGAGCCCTGGGATCAGCAGCCTCCCTCCGTCCTCACACACACAAGCCACCTCAGTTTATGGGTCTTGGCCCCCCAGCCCCACCTACTCGTTCATGTATTTGACAAAGCTCATATTTATCGGACATTTGTACCATGCCAAGCATCTTCCTTGGATTATCATTTCTCACAGCCAGTATTTATTGTCTGCTCTTCTGTGCCAGGTGCTGTGCTCTGGGGTAGAGACACTGCACATGCTGCCTGCTCTGGGGGAGCTTATGGTCCAGCAGGTGAGGCTGACCCACACCCACCCCTCATTCCAGCAGGGCCAAGGCCAGAGTACAAATGGAGGCCTCATACCATATGTCTAAATATTTAAAAATCATAAATCCAGCTGTTAAATAAAATGTGTGCTATTCTCTTACTTTGACTAATATACTTCCACCATGACCTGGAAGGTTCTAATTTAAACTTCTTTGGTTCTTCCAAATTCTATGCCTGTATGTGATGGTGCAGGCAGAGCTGGCCCTTGGCCTGCCCCCTCTTCTTCCCACGCTTAGAGCCATTCTGTCCCAAGGAGCGGTCTGAGCACACACGTGGACACTAGTCCACATGTGCAAACTGCCCACACTCCCTGCAACCACTGCTGTCAGAGTCCACTCTTGAGAGACTGGACCTGGGGCAGTTGGTGGGGTCATTTGGACAGGGAATTTCTAGGGTCCCAGGTATCCAGAGCATGGTCTAAAGGGAAGGGCTCAGGCTTTAGGAGGGTCCCATAGATTCACCTCGTTGCGGGGGGTGGGGGGGGGGCAGGGTGCAAACAGAGGGTCCAGAGTAGAACTTTCAAAAGTAGGGGACCCAGGGCGGGGGGCCCCCTCTCACCCCTGGTGGAACTGGACAGACACCAAACAACTGATTACTTGGCTAACTACATTTGTGACAAAAGCTAGGAAGATGTACAGGGTGCTTTGAAGGTGTGTCACTGGCGTGTGACTGGTCCCCAGGGACCTGACATGTCTCCCCAGAAGCCTTGTTAGGGCTAAGCACTAAAGAATGAAGGAGTCAGCCAGGCATTGAGTCAAGGGAAGGGCATCTAAGCAGAGGGAACTGCACATGCAAAGGCTCTGAGGCAAGAAGGCTTTTGGGGAGAATAAAACCGAGAGAAGACCATCGTGACCGGAGCCCAGAAAGCCAGTAGGTACAGGTGTGAGGTGATGCTGGAGGGGCTGGTAGGGTACACTGCATGCAGGGCCTTGTGGCACACACTGAGTGGAGGTCAGTGGCCAAGGACATTGGGTTACCGAGGACAACAGGCAGGAGGATCCCTGAGCAGAGAGGTCTTAGGAATGATCAGCTCCCCTATCTGACCCCCACCCCCATCCCAGGCTTCTGACCCTGTCAAGGGCCTAGGTGGGAAAATAACATAGCAGCAGGCAGAGAAGTTCCAGAGTCATTACATTTTGTCACCAGGAGGAGCTTCAGAAATCGCCCACCACCAGTGAAGAAACTCCTAGAGAGACGATGTCCTAACTGGCAGGTTGGGGGCAGAGCCTGGCTTAGAGCTTCATTCGTGCAGTCCGAGGGCCCACTGTGCACCCCACCATATATCCTCAACACTGAGCACAGTGCATGGTGCACACAGGAAGTGTGCAGTGAGTGTGTTTTAAATGGATTGTCTGGGGACACATATTTAGAAATAGTATCTGCCCTCCTGAAGCTCCATCTGGTTGAAGGATGGGCTTAAAAATTAGTGACAGGAGCACAGTTGATGAGGGCCGTCATCCAGGGCCCTCTGCCCACTCTGGCCCTGCTCAGCAGGTAGCACTCACTTCTCCTGCAGCCTGGTGCTCTCTCGAAGGTCAGGGTGCTCACTTGGTTGCTAAATCCGGTAGACATGCCCAAGCTTCATGCACGTGGACACGCGGACGGCCCTATTGCTTTCCTTGAGACACACTGTTCCTCTGTCCGCAGCAACGTGGGTCTTCTCCCAGCACGCCATCCTTCCCTCTCTCAGCTCCCCTTCTTCTGCCCACCCTGTAAATTGGTCAGGTCCCCAGGGTTCTGCCCTCAGCCCATTGCTCTGTCCCCTCCACTCTCCCTGAAGGCACTCATCCACTCTGGGGACTCAGCCTCAAAGAGCTCCCAGGTTGCAAACACATTGCTTGGTGGGTGGCACAGAACATTGGGCCTGTGACCCTTTGGTTTCCCAGAGCTCTAGGGCAGCCTTTTTTTAAGACCCTGGCCTGAGTTCCCGCAGTGCTATAGGGAAGGATGCTTTGTTCATTTCCGGTCAGAGCAGCAGAGGTAGAAGGGCGCCCCCTTCAGGCCAGACAGGAGGAGATGCTTACTGGGGTTAAGGAGAGGCCCTGCCAGGTAGAATAGAGGCTGCGAGGTTCAGCCTCCCATGTTCTCCAAGAGCGAGTGTTCATCCTATGTTGCTACTGACTATTATTCAAATTTATGCACCAACCCCTAAGGCCAAAGATGAAAATATTGAAGATTTTTACCAACTTCTGCAGTCTCAAATAGATCAAACATGCAGTCAAGGTGTATTAATTACTGGTGACTGGAATGCAAAAGTTGGAAGCAAAGAAGAGGATTGGTAGTTGGAAAATACGGCCCTGGTGATAAAAACGACACCGGTGATCGCATGACAGAATTTTGCAAGCCTAACAACTTATTCATTGCAAATACCTTCTTTCAACAACATAAATGGCAACTATACACGTGGACTTTGCCAGATGGAATTACACAGGAATCAAACATACTACATCTGTCGAAGAAGAAGATGGGAAAGCTCAATATCATCAGTCAGAACAAGGCCAAGGGCTGACTGTGGAACAGACCATCAATTGCTCACATGCAAGTTGAAGTTGAAGAAAATTAGAACAAATCCTCGAGAGCCAAAGTACGACCTTGAGTATATCCCACCTGAATTTAGAGACCATCTCAAGAATAGATTTGACGCACTGAGCACTAATGACTGAAGACCAGATGAGTTGTGGAAGGACATCATACATGAAGAAAGCAAGAGGTCATTAAAAAGACAGAAAAGACCAAAACGGATGTCAGAAGAGAATCTGAAATTTGCCCTTGAATGTAGAGCAGCTAAAGTGAAAGGAAGAAATAATGAAGTAAAAGAGCTGAACAGAAGATTTCAAAGGGCAGCGTGAGAAGACAAAGTAAAGTATTATAATGAAATGTGCAAAGACCTAGAGATAGAAAACCAAAAGGGAAGAAAACGCTTGGCATTTCTCAAACTGAAGAATTGAAGAAAACATTCAAGCCTCGAGTTGCAATATTGAAGGATTCTACAGGGAAAATACTAAATGACGCAGGAAGCATCAAAAGAAGATGGAAGGAATACACAACGTCACTGTACCAAGAAGAATTGGTCGACATTCAGCCATTTCAGGAGGTAGCATATGATCAAGAATCGATGGTACTGAAGGAAGAGGTCCAAGCTGCACTGAAGGCATTGGCTGAAAAAGAAGGCTCCAGGAATTGACAGAATACCATTTGAGATATTTCAACAAACAGACGCAGTGCTGGAGGTGTTCACTCATCTGTGCCAAGAAATTTAGAAGACAGCTACTTGGCCAACCAACTGGAAGAGATTCATATTTGTATCCATTCCAAAAAAAAGGTGATCCAACCGAATGTGGAGATTATTGAACAATATTAATATCACACACAAGTAAAATTTTGCTGAAGATCATTCAAAAGCAGTTGCTGCAGTACATCAACACGGAACTGCCAGAAATTCAAGCCAGATTCAGAAGAGGACATGGAACAAAGGATATCATTGCTGATGTCAGATGGATCATAGCTGAAAGCAGAGAATACCAGACAGATGTTCACCTGTGTTTTATTGACTATGCAAAGGCATTCGACTGTGTGGATCATAACAAATTATGGATAACATTTTGAAGAATGGGAATTCCAGAAGATTTAATTGTGCTCATGAGGAACCTGTACATAGATCAAAAGGCAGTCGTTCGAACAGAACGAGGGGATACTGCATGGTTGAAAGTCAAGAAAGGTGTGTGTCAGGGTTGTATCCTTTCACCATACTTATTCAATCTGTATGCTGAGCAAATAACCCGAGACGCTGGACTATATGAAGAAGAATGTGGCATCAGGATTGGAGGAAGACTCATTAACAACCTGCGATATGCAGATGACACAACTTTGCTTGCTGAAAGTGAAGAGGACTTGAAGCACTTACTGATGAAGATCAAAGACTACAGCCTTCAGTATGGATTACACCTCAACATAAAGAAAACAAAAATCCTCACAATTGGACCAGTAAGCAACATCATGATAAACAGAGAAAAGACTGAAGTTGTCAAGGACTTCATTTTACTTGGATCCATAATCAACAGCCATGGAAGCAGCAGTCAAGAAATCAAAGGACGCATTGCACTGGGCAAAGCTGCTGCAAAAGACCTCTTTAAAGTGTTAAAAAGGAAAGATGTCACTTTAAGGACTAAGGTGCACCTGACCCAAGCCATGGTGTTTTCAATCACCTCAAATGCATGTGAAAGCTGGACAATGAATAAGAAAGACTGAAGAAGAATTGATGCCTTTGAATTATGGTGTTGGCAAAGAATATTGAATACACCATGGATTGCCAGAAGAACGAACATATCTGTCTTGGAAGAAGTACAGCCAGAATGCTCATTAGAAGCAAAGATGGTGAGACTTCATCTCACGTACTTTGGACATGTTATCAGGAGGGGCTAGTGCCTGGAAAATGATATCATGCTTGGTAAAGTAGAGGGTCAGCGAAAAAGAGGAAGAAGACTCTTAACAAGATGGATTGACACAGTGGCTGCAACAATGGGCTCAAGCATAATGATTGTGAGGATGGTGCAGGACAGGGCAGAGTTTTGTTCTGTTGTACACAGGGTCACTATAAGTCAGAACCAACTCGATGGCACCTAACAACAACAACAACACAAACCTTACAAAGAATCCCTGGTGGTGCAGTGGTTAAAGTGCTCGACTGCTAACCAAAAGGTTGTTGGTTTGAATCTACCAGCTGCTCCTCGGAAGAAAGATGTGGCAATCTGCTTCTGTAAAGATTTACCGCCTTGGAAACACTACCAGGCAGTAGGAATCAACTTGACGGCAATGGTTTTGTTTTTTTTACAGACCTTACTTGGTTTCATCATTTTTTTGCATGCACTCATCATTTTTATATGTCTTTATGTATAATTTCATGACATTTTATCACATGTATAAATTCAGAATAAACACCACCACAATCGAGATAAAGAATTGTTCCATCATCACAGAGGAAATCCCTTACAATGCCCCTCCCTCCCCTGCCCTAATCCCTGACAAGCTTATCTGTTCTTCATCTCTATGATTTTGTCATTTCGAG